CAGGAGCGGAGGGGTTGGGTCCCCGTGAGCGGGTAACGGCCAGTCGGCAAAGGTCCGGGATCCCGGTCTGGTCTTTCCTCACACGGCGGAGGGGACCCTGCCCCCCACACGGGTGGACATTCCTGAGGCGGAGGAGCCCGAGGAGGGCGGGCTTGAACCCGCGGCACCGTGAATCCCTGAGACGGGTCACGGTTGGCTGTCTGGCTTTGGCCAACGCCAGCTCCAAATTTTGATTCACGTCGTTATATCCATGAGTGACCATTTGGGGCCAATCTCGGTGACGGCAAACACGTTGGTTGTTTCCCCTGTGTTTAATAAAGATGGAGTGTTGTCTGATTTGCTTTTGAGTGAAGTTCTGCTCAGGTTCTGAATGTCACTGTTTCAACTGTGAGAAGCAAGTTACTGGGGAACACCTTCGGATTTCCTTGTGCCCAGAGCTCTTCTCAACATGTTGATCATTGAGAAAAGCCCTCCCCAACAGCCCCCAGTCCTTTTGGGGTTGCTCCTGGCAGCGAGGAAACGCCCTGGAGGGGTGTGAGCCACGGGACTCCCCAGGGGTTGGGGTGTGGGTGATCTGGAGAAGAGCCTGGGCCCTGCTCTTCCAGGCTGCAGGGCAGTAGGCAGCGCCTGCGGGCATGGCTTTGATGTAGATAATGAATAACCTTTTACAGAGGCCTCTGATTTGAGTTTTAAAGAAAAGCCTGGGAGATGACCGTTGAGTTATGTATTTTTGCTGGGAATTTGAAAACCTGTGTGTTTAATCTGCACGGTGTAGTTCCATGGCTGAAAACAGAGAAAGCAATACATGGCAGGTGGGGCAGGTTCATGTGAAGCGGGGCCCAAACAGCGAGTGTTGGGGTAGGAGTCTGCCCTCCGCAGCAGCGCCTGTGTTGAAACATGGCTGAGCCAGGCAGGGTCTGAAGGCTCCAGCTCCTGATGGTTGGCTGCCTGCTCCTCCTCTGGTATACACATGCTGAGTTAATCGTGACTCTACCCCTGTTTTACAAACACCACCTCCTCATTCGCTGTGCCATCTTCACTCATGAATCACGGTCTCACAAGACAGTATTCACCTCACACGGAGTTGAAGCAGCTTGGACTGCTTTTCCTCTGATGATGGTCACTGCTCCCACAGCTTGTACTTGAGCATGTGTTTGACCATTCTTCAGCAGCTGTGGCATGTTAACCTGTGGCTGAGAGGTGGCAGTGGGCAGCTGAGGGACAGAAACATTTTTACAGCATCAGCGGTCTTTAATTAAGGATGTGCTTCTGACTTACAATTTCTCTAGTGCTGACATTCTTGAAGAGTTCCTTTACACAACCTCCACAAGTTTCTGTCCCCCTGCTAGAGTTGTGAGAGTGGTGAATTTTACTGGTCAAACTCTTTGGGAGCCTGCACTGCAAGCCATCTCAGTGAAATAATCTGTGTTAATGGAAGCAACCGCAACCTCATTTATAGCACGGCATCCCTATAGAGTTGCATTGACACAACAGAGGGATGTGCCAACAGATAAGTGTAATGTTGAAGCACACCCTAAGCATGCATCAAAAGCCCTCATTTCAACAGAAAAACATTCCTCTGTTTCTTTGTCCATTGTGTGATTACTTTTGAATGACACATCCAATCAACGCTGGAATGTTTTCTGAAAGTTTGGAATTGAAGAACAACGCCCTGTTTTGGTGAAAATCAGTAAACTAGAAGAAGAGTAGGGGAGACACGTAGTGCTCCTGGCAGCTGCTTGGCAGACCCAGCAGCTCAGAACAACTCTGTAATTTTCCTGGCGGTTATTAGCATTTCATTATAACTACCTCCATCTCGGTTCCAGTTCCAGTGTGTTGACACCCTGAATAATTTATTTCCTACAGAAGAACAAAAAATACAAAAAATGGGACGAAGGGATCATGCAGGAATCAGTCTTTGACAGAAAGGAAATGGGTGGCATGAAACAAAACTAGCTGGAGAGGGTTACAAGAGGTCCCTGACATACAAAGGGGTGACAGCCGAGTACACAGGGAATTTGCAAGTAACAGGCAGGTAGCATGTAGTAATGAACTCGGGCATACTAAAGCAACGAGGGCACGTCTGCTAGAAACGTCAGCTCAGCTGAAAACTGAGCTAGTCCGATTTATTCAATATTGCAGCAATTCGGTGAAACATGCTGGATAGATATAACCAAAAAGTGCAGATATAGTAGTATGCACATCTTGTTCGTTCACATAACTTGAGTAACTCTGAATCCCTTAAAAGCTAGCAAACATAGGTACCGTTCAACCTGGAGATTGGGAAAGTGTACAGAAGATTGTGTAATATTTGGCCAGAAGCGGAGAGAACAGGACTTCAGGGAAGTCCTCAGGAAATGAGAGGACTGTATCTTGATAAAAGAGACTGTAGGTGTGTTTCTAGCTTCAGTGTTGTTGCTGCTATGGGTGATGGGCATTTTCTGCTACAGAAGTGGGATCAATGGAGTGCAAAATGGAGGGGGAAAAGAGAGTTCATAAAAATGAGGAAAGATGAGGAAAGGTAGAGGACGATTAAGTGACTGTCCCACTAGTAGAGGCTGCAGGCAAGGGGAAACCCAAGGAAATTAGACATTTAAATAGAGTTTTAAATGGTTGGCCCAGGCTGTTTGCAGGAAGTGAGAGAATCTGAGGTTTCTGACAAGGAGGGTTGGGAGACAACCTGTGAGGAGTTCCTTTTTTCACTGGAAAAAGGTTTCCAATCCCTGAACTTCTCCTTCACTATATCACTTAGCATTGTGTACTTTAACAGAGTTAACTTTCAGGGCAAACTGCTGTCTGTGTCTATCCTGCTCCGATTCTGCCTGTCCTGCTCCAATGCCTCCAAGTACAGCAGCGTGGATGCAGGCAGTTAGTTCCAGGAGCCTTCAGTCTATCCACGTGGGAGAAGACTTTGCTGATTTCTAATTCCTTAAAGCCTACTGAGGTGCCCTATAGACAGCATAAGGCTGATAGCGTGAAAGAGTTGATGACCTTAAACAAGCAATATTAATAGAGATATTTTAGAAACACCTGTGAAGGAAATAAAAAATTACTTGGGCTTCTTCCTCCTCTCCTGTTCTAGGTGCTAAAACCCGGACTAGTTAATTTGTAAGGTTTCTTGGTGATTCCTTTTTCCTATTGTATACTATATGTAAATATATAAAAAACGTATATAAAAATATGTATTATATAAGATATATATAAAATATATTGTAAAGATATTAAGTTTTGCCCTCTGTTTTACTGGGAATTTCCTCAGCTCATGACTAGACTGACTAAAATTATACATCTTCTAATATTTTTCAGACATTTAAAAATTACATCAGCAAAAGCAAGCAATATAAATCAATCTGGTTTGCTCTTAGAATTACATAGCTTATTACTGATGTTGTATATCTAATTATTAAATCATATACATCCATCAGAAAGTGGGAAACAAAAAATTGCCATTCTCTTTTTATGACTATGGGGTTATTTTCTAATTTACCAAAATGTACACAGATTTGAAATTTGGAAAAATCAAGACCAGACAAAAATTATTTAAAAAAAAATGCTTAGAGACTTTCATTTTAATGTGCGTGTTAGGTATATTCTAGATTTAAAGGTGCAAACAAGTGTCTGATGTAATCTTTGTTTGTTCTTCCATTCCCTAAATTTTGCTTGAAAATCTTACTGAGAAAAACTTTCAGCTGTAGGCTTGAGGCAGTAAATTTTTTCAAGAGTTAAAGAAAATAGACTGAATTGTGGCACCTTCAAAATGGAAAATCAGAGTTCAAAAAGAAAAAATAAATTAAAAATAAATTTAGATTTTCTAACTATGATTATGAGCAAGAGTCCGTTGAAATGGTTAAGTCCACACTAAGCAAAACTGAAAAGTATTAATTTAGTGAATGAAGGTCACAAAGTTCTGGACACAAGTAGCTTTTGATATAAAATCCCATATCATTGCTGCCTCATCTGGCTTTTTAGGAAATTGCTTTTCCCAACACTTTCTAAATCTCTGGTAAATGAAAATCCCTGTAGCTGGTTGGGGACA